TCTTGGGAAAATGGTACTTCCTGATCTGATTCTGACCAGGGACCTGTTTAAACTGCATATACGCAGGTAGCCGCCGATGATTATTTTTCACCTGATTATTTTTTAACCTGGTGAGCTAAAACGGTGTCGCTTCAGAAAATATTTTGAAACGTCTCTTAAAATTTTGCATAGTAGAAAATTAAAACTAGTATATATATATTCATTAATTTATTTAATTTTCATGTAAAATCAAATAATAATTCAAATACAAGGTATCTAACTAGTTTTATTTGTTAATTATGCTTTTTCTTGTATTTTTCATTCTTTTTTTGGATAAAATATGTAATCCAAACTAAAAAAATTTCCCCCAAAATTTTTCATTTTTTTAGAAGTTAATTTTGATCATTGAAACACAAAATAAATTTGAGTTATTTATGGGTTTAGTAAGAGTATGATATATTAAAAACTTAATTAATGGTTTGTCGGATATATATAAGAGAAAAAATTAATAGCATTTTTTCATATTTCATAGATGATGACGTGATTATCTATATAAATGATATATTTATCTTAAAATTATATAAAAAAATCATGTATAAAATGAAAACGTGACGGTTAGTATAATAAAACTAGTTCACTTCCAACTTATGAATGTAACCTTATTAGTTTTTTTCTTTTTTTTTTCATTGTTCTTTTTCCTCTTACAAACTGCTTTCCTCTCCCTCAATTTTGGGTTCATTGGCGTACATGTAAAAATCTAGAAGAGTCAACAAAACACATGATTTACAAACTTCATTGAGGAAGAAGAAGAATTCAAAGTTACCTAATGACAAAAAAAAAAGGACCACAAAACTCTGTCAATGTGACTAACAACGTTTAAACATCATTAGACTGTCCTAAAAGAATCTCCATGTGATGATTCAGATCGTTCAAATACTTAGTTGAGTTGTATTCTTCTGCATCATATATCTCCTCTGAGTAAGTCCTGGGAGGTATCGACTTTTCGCGTTGTTTCAGTGTCTCCAGGCAGCAAAGATCACCCTTTAGAATGTCCACAACCTGCAGGAAAATGCAATGTTTGAATCAATCAAGATGCAACATTTCTCAGATTGTTAACTATAGTTTTTCTTGGATTGGAAGTAACTTGTAATGCTTGCTTGGAAATAAATTTTTTTTTTTTTTCATATGCAATGAGAGGACATGCCTGGCTCATTTGGGGTCGATTCACTGCAGACTGATGTATACAAATAGCAGCTGTTGCAGCAACAAGGTTCAACTGGTCCGACTCATATGCATCGCCTAGAGTTGGATCAACGAGTTCTTTGATCTTATTTTGTTTGATCAAAGGTTTTGCCTGCAAGAGTTTGTACAAAGGAGTTGAATCACGGGGATACTCAAGAATGGTGGACATGTTAGTATAAATTCAATTTTGGTGGAGTAAAGCAAACCTACCCACATAACAAGGCTTTGCTGTGAACTATCTACGGCTTGCCTCGCTGTGATGAGCTCCAACAGCAGTACCCCAAAAGCATAGACATCTGTTTTTTCATCGACGATGCCATGCATGAAAAACTCAGGAGGAAGGTAACTGTCATGGCAAAAATTCTGTCGAAAATTTTTAAGCAATAAAAGAATTTTAAAGGTTCAGAAACCAAGTGGGATTTTAAAGTTACAGACCCAAATGTGCCTTCCACTTTAGAGACGATATGATGAGTCCATTGATCAGGCAACCACTTTGCCAGGCCAAAATCGGATATCTGAATTACATTGAAAATTCAAGTTTAAGTAAGGTAGTTGTTATATATGCAGTAACTGTTGTTCCATTTTACTGCATTTACAGCAAAATTGTTCGAGTTCAAGATGTACCTGAGCGTCGAAGTCCTCTGTAAGCAATATGTTTGAAGCCTTGATATCTTTATGGATGATTCTCCTCTGGCAACCTTCATGAAGATAACTAAGGCCTTCGGCAGCCCCTGTCGTGATCTTGATCTGATGCCCCAGTTCAGTTTCTCCTTGGGGCCTGCATATGCATAGCAACAAGTTGAACTGCTAAAATTTTGTCCATCAAGAACTTGTGAAGAAATGGAACTTAAGAGGCTTCTGAGAAGCAAACCATAAAGTAATGATGCCAGGCTTCCGAGGGGAGACAATTGGAGAACAAGGTGCATCCCTCCTTCAACCCCATACCCAATCAATTTGGCAATATTGGGATGGTCAACATGAACTATAATTCCAAGCTCAGACAAGAAATCCGCTGTCATCTCCTCCAGTGAACCTCTGGTCAACCGCTTAATTGCAACAAGCATTCCACTTTTCAGTTGCCCTTTGTAAACTTCTGCATACCCTCCTTCTCCTCTCAAATTTTCTTCTCAAAAACAAAGATATAAATGTCTGTCAGCCTACCAGGGCAATCAGAAAATGTCAAACGAACATGTTTCTTTCCAAAGTGTAAATTGGACCTTAAAACAAGATTGAAAATGCTAAAAATAAATGATCAAGTACGAGGAGGAAATACTAAATATACCATGGCTGAAGTTATTGGTTGCTTCCTGAAGCTCTGAGAGCGAGAAGTTCTTCCAGGTAGATTTAAAACAGCATAGTTCAGCATCCAGAGCTGAACATAATTGTGGAACCATGTCATCCCTAATTCTTTTGCTCTTTCTTCTAGTGAGCTTAGGTTTTAGGCGAGGCCAGGTTTGAGAGGGTATTCCAGATCCTTTCTTCAGTAAGTGAAAAGAAGCCACGCCAGTGAACAATAGTAGCTGAATGCTGTTGATTTTCAGAGTCTGACAAAGTGCTGGCCTTAGAAGAAGTTGGCTCAGATTCTGTAGATGCTATACTTCTTGATTCTATAGATTCTACAGTACTTGTTGAGCAATCCTCAGGAGCAGCTTTTGTAGACGGCTCATCTATTCTCTCTACTTCGGAGTCTAATGATGTTGTGTCTAACACGATATAGAATTCTAACATTAACAAAATTATTGAAGTCTATTACCATGTCGACTCTAGAGAACATGGAAATGGATGATTAATTACCAAGAGATGAAATTGCGTCCGAGAAACCTGCTCGATGTCTTCTCCTTATATGACGAAAAGGCTCCCATTTCTTCTTTTCAGTGCCAGATTTATTGGAACTTTTGCTGTCAATGGATGGTTCATCACTGCAAGAGGGAAAAAAAGGAACCGATGATATGAACAACATACAATGAGCAAAAAGCCAGCCTGAAACAAGATGGCAAGCAACAAGCAAAAAGCCGGCATGGGAATTTATATATAAACAATGACATGAAATTATCAGTTAAGCATGCCTCAAAGATGAACAGATATATTGTCAAAAGAAGAACAAGAACACAGATCAGAAGAGCCATTAAAACAGCGGCTTTTACAAAAGCAGGTAATGAAACTGAAAGAAAAGACAATCTTAACATTTTAATGCAGAATATAAGGTTAAAGAAAAAAGCCTGAATAATTTAAAAAAAAAAGCTCAAAAGGAAAAGCTACAGACTCAAACATATATAAGTTCCAATGATTCTTAATTGAATGCTAGGAATATAGGGAATTCCATGGAACAGACTTCTTCATTTTCAACTCCAGTTCTTCTCAAGAATTACAAGCAGCTTCTATTTCTTTCCATCAGAAAAAAGCATAGAGCAATATTTTTTTTCAATCCCAATACCCCCTAATCGGTGTGATTGTGAAGAGTAAATTCAAATGCCATTTATTTTATGAAATTAAACCAGGGAAACTCAGAGCAACCCAGAGATATAAATGTAAAAGAGATTTGAAATCATCAAAGCATAGCTACATAAATCTTGTAATTCATTGGAAACATAAAAGACTCCAATTGCCTGAAAGCCAAAAGTTTATGAATTTCAGGTTGTGATAATCCTTGAAGATCAATAAATAAACAAAATCCAATGCTGCAAAACACGAACAAATCATAAAGAAACCAGACTCAGAAACTAAAGACCCGAAAAGGATGCTTGGAAAGTACCATGAATGACCAGAAGGTTCTCTTGCATCCCCCATGGCTTTTCAGAGGTGATCAAACCAGGGAGACCTGAAGGAATGAGAAAGAAAGAGAGAGAGAAAAGATGAAAAATGACGTATGCGGTTGGCATTATTCTCTGAGCATTTCTCTAATATCCATATTGTTTTTTTTTTTGACAGATCACCTGATTTTTGTGCCTAAAAGTAGGCTTTCTCTCATTTCTTCCTTCTTAATCCATTCCCTTTTTTTTCTCAAAAATCTATAAAAAAATGAAGAAGTGAATATTTTGATCTTATTTTTAGCATATCACGTTGAAGGCTTGTAAGAAGCACGTTTGGAGTTCTTCTAACAAGAACAGTAGTTACAGCAATGCCTCTCCCATATTTTTGGGACATTAACACGTGTAACAATTAGTTCTTCCACTTTCTGTTGCAATTTCTTATCAATCTTTTGCTTGATACTTCAACCAACAAAACATTCTGGGTCATCAAGATAATCTTCACACGTTGAGAAAACAGGATAATTTGTCACTTTATGTGCAGATTCATACCACATGAGCTTGGTTTTCATAAATTTTTTAACTTTCCCACAGGAAGTGCATTGCGAAAAAGCCTTCCTTCGAGCTGTGAAAAGCTAACTTGAAGGATTACCTTACTCTTCTTTACCCAAAAACAAAAATAAAAAGGAAAAACAAATGGATTTTATAGTTTGATCAGGGCCGGTAGCCCCTGGAATCATTCAGCCCAAGTTTTTTCTCGGCTAAAATACTAAAAACTTCTTTACTTTTTGGAAATTTTCAAATAAACCCATATATTTTTATTATATCCTTTCATCATACCCAATTGAATTTTTGACATGAAAATCACTAAAATCTGTTAAATGAATTGATATTTAATTAAACAAAAATAATACTCTAAGAACTTAATAGTTAAGGATTTAACTGAATACAATAAGAGAATAAAGGATTATTTTAAAATGTTGAAAATTTATAAGGTCTTTTTTAGTAATTTAACCTTTTTTGTTATTATTATTTTTCACCATTTTAATCAAATTTCTTCTATTTCTCTCCCCTTCCATCTTTTCCTTGGTGAGGGCTACATAGCCTAAGTGCCTAACATGTAAGTACTTAATAATGATACAATTTTTACTATAAAAATCAAAATCCAAAAGAAAGTATGATCCCCAGGGGAAAATAGAAACAGGGATCAAATATCTCTCCCTCCTTAATTGAACAAGAAATTTCAGCCAAAGCATCAAATATCATAGAACAAAAAAGTTAACAATAAGTATGTTTATTGTTCCTTTTGACATGCATTTCGATGATTCTCAACAATGAAACAGGGCATGGAGTATGAACAAACTTACACTCAACACAAAACTATAGAAAAAGAGTTTTCAGGAAGGGGTCACAGCACAGGTTTTTATTAGGCAACTTTACACCAAAAAATCTCTGAATAAATCACAAAGTGGAAAAACGGATGATTACAAACCGTAGATACAGTTTTAGCTCAGCTGATTTAATGGACGTTGCGATTGATCAAACCCTCAAATATTGCGTAAAGATCTCTGTTATCCAGGCCAAAAATCTCATCTGCCTTCCTTAAAGTCTCCTGGATAATTCAGGTAAACAAAGGGATGAAAATGTCACAATGAGAAACAAATAAAAAGAAGAAAAAAAGATGGAGTCAGAAACAAGGAGTTGCATACTTCTCTTGTTTGTTTGTGGGAATTTAATTCTTTAACATTTGCCAGGAATGCTCCAAACTGCTCATAAGACAAGCGGCCCCTGATGAAACAGATGAAGAGGTGAGATAGGGAATTTGTGATAAGCCATGCATTCAGGTGCAGGCAAAACTTCAAAGCTGGTGATATAAATCAAGAAGCAAGAACATACTGAGAGTAATTTTGATTACGTTCACTCAGGTGTTTCTTAAAACAGATAAAATTGTGCTATATGATCAGATACGTAGATTCTGCATATATCAGTGTACAGAACAGTATAATCTTTCCACAACTATAAGTATTCATATTACAGATGTGTTTACCTGACTTGGCGGAAGAATTCTTTTCCATCAACCCGAGTGCGTCCTGAAACATATCCAGAAAGAAGTCAGGATACGTTAAATCCTATATAGTCGCTTCCTTATAATTAGTAAAGCTGTTTCAAGAGTGCTTTAATTGTAAAACATTTTCCAGTATTATGAAATAAATTTTCATCTAAGTTGCATCATTAAAATAGTTGGATGCCACAGCTCCATATACATTCACAAAGCTTTAGTGCCAGTATTTCTTTTCCTTTCTTCTCCAATTTTCAACATTCTCTTTAGGCAAATGTTTCAATTAAGACGATTCAACATTTTGGGTTCTTCTTCAGCTGTCACATAGTACTGAAGAACTACACATCCAGCTCTAAAGCAGTTAGATTCTAAATAAGGTCTTATTTTAGAAGAAAAGTTTTGAAGCTAACCAGTCTGTGATCCGGTTTCAGACCTATCATCAACCATGCCTCTTGAGGTAGAAAATGAAATTGAATGTCTCCTAGGAGACACTGGCTTAGATGTCCTTGTGGGAGATACAGAAGCTGACAGACTTGGTGGGGTACCTGGAGGAGTTACCCGAGGTGTGCTTATTTGTGATGCTAGTAGGAGGCCATGCGGTATGCCAGGTCTTGATGCTGTTATAATGGTACATAGCAAGAAAAATAGACAACAATATTGAGTAAGAAAAAGGGGAAAGATTAGATTTCAATGCACTCAATTGCAGCATTACTATTTTTCTCATGATACCACACATGCTTGAACAAACGTCCATCAGCAGAGAAACAGAAAGAACTTCAGTAAAGTGAGGAAGACTTTTATAGTGGAAATAATCATGTTTATGACTAAATCATGCAGCACTGCCAAAACCAACAAGGACTGCTGCGTACCATCTGTGTCACGATCCTCCACAAATGAATTTCCCATATCAGAGTACTGGCTGCGCATTGAAGCAGTTCTTGAGGGCAAGGTAGCATCATCTTCTAAAAAGTCAGAACAAACCAAGGGTTATATCATAATGAAAGGAAAAAAATTTAACCACTGACAAACAACTTATGTATCTCACAAAGAACTATAAGGCAGGTGCTTTGTAATTATACATAGAATTCTCAATCCAGACTATAGATAAACTGCATAAATGTAGTTCAAATGAGCTCAACTCAGTGAATACGAAAATAAAACCATACCTGATGGTGTTGGCTTTGCAATGATCTGAGGACCCCCAACCTGTAGCAAAAACAAGACTTAACAAGTCAAAAAACCTCGAAGCATTGTCCTTGAAAGAAATTCTTGGAATAATCAATAGAGCACTCCAGTGGACAACTTACAGAACTTTCCTCATCCTCTTGAAGCGACTGCATAAGCGTCCTTCTAAAGACCTCCAACTGCACATTTGCAGAATGGCAGAACCTCAGAGTCTTAGACTACATTGTCTAATAAAACCCTTGCACACTACTTGTCATTTTCCCAACACCATTTAGCTCAAAGTCTCAAACCACATCAGCCCTTGCCAATTCATAAACATCAATGAAGGGCACACTCAAATTCCTAAAGTTATCATCATTCTTGTACCACACATACAAACCCACAAAAATGAATGCATTCAATATCATCATGAAATGCTAATGCCTTCCCATACCAGGCACCTCAGAAGGGCACATTGGTTATAAAATTTAATGGGCACCCTTTATTTTGCTTTAAAATCAAAATTTCTTCACCATTTCAACTATCATATAACACGTTATACATAAATACATCCATATACTTCTTCTACTTCCTTCTCTTTTTCTCTTCCTAGTTATCAATCAAAAAGTAGCACTTCATGACAATTTGTGACCAATCATTAATCCAAAACTTAGAAACCAAAAATTTATAAGCTTTAGTCAACCAATCAACCAAAAGTCAAAACCCCATTAACATATTACCTTGGAAACATCCCTCTGAAGCTTCCTTACAGTGTTAGAAAGCGAAGCATTATCTTTCAACAAGCTCTCCTACCAAAGAAAAAACAAAGTCAATTACTCATTTATTTTAAAAAAGTAATAAATCAATTGAAGTAAAAGCCAGGTCGGACATTTTCCTGGTCGGTCTTAACGAGTTTATCAGAGGTTTCAGACAAAGAAGCATCGAGGGCATCGATCTGGGCATAAAGGTCGGCGATTTGTTGGTCTTTCTCGGCGAGCTTGAGTTGAAGGGAAGAAGACTCGGCTTCGAGCAAAGAAACACGTGTGGAGAGTGCAATAGAGGTGATCTTACGGGCCACATCGAGTTGCTCGAAAGGATCAGAGGGTAATACTTGCAACACTTCCTCGGGAAGATCGAAGGTGGAACCACCCGATTCTTTGGCCAACATGTCTTTCTCTCTCCAATCGTTTCTCTATTTTATTCTATTGCTTACTTTTTCTTTTATTTATTTTTTTATATATTGCATGAAAAGAAAAGGGATTGGATGGACAGGGAGAGTTGGATTTTGGACATGGGTGGGGGTGAAACTTGAGGATGTGAGGGTGAGTACATGTTTTTTTTATTACATGGCAGAAACATGTGGCTTGCTTGTGTCGTGAATGGATAGGCAAAAGACAAAAAGATACCAGTGCTCTGCTTTATTTTTCTTTTTGCTTTTTGTTTTTATTACCGTTTTTTCTTTTTAAATTAGTAGGAGTAAGAAAAAATTAAAATTAATTTTAAATTATAATATTTGATTTAATTTAAATTTTTTATTCAATTTAGATCAAATTTAAATATTAAATATATATTAAGTTTAGATCAAATTTTAAATTGAGATGTAAAAAATTAAAAAATATATATTAATTTTTATATTTTTAAAAATTTTATAAAATAAAATAATTGTTTTTATATAAATTTATTTAAATATATTAAAAGTTATATTAAAATAATATATAAAAAATAAAAAATAAATTTTAAAAATCAATGAATTGAATTGTTAAAATTTAATTTAAATCAAATCAATTTAAATTAAAATTAAAATTTAAAAATTTATAATATTATGTATTATTAAAAAAATCAAATCATATTCCACTCGTTTCAAAACATTATCACCGGAAAATATTTGGTCCTAAACCGGGATGAGTATTGCCCATTGGGGTTTAAAGGCATTGTGAAGTCCCTTTTCATGGCCTTGGCAGGCTAGCTTGATTGGAATTTTGAACCCATTATCCGGCTGACTGAAATTGGGTTTCTACCCGATTGCTAGAGTAGCCCAACAACTAACTAGCCCATAAAACCCTGAAAATTTTGTTCCTCTTTCTGTCTGGTTTCAGTGCAGAATTGTTTTTCTGGGCTTGTAGTTGATGATTCGAGTCAAGCGGATAGGTCCCCTGAGGGGCTGCCTTTCCATTACAGATATTCCAAGAGTCAGATTATCAGACGAAAAGAACACAATACCACATTTTCTTTGAAAATCTTGAGGCACGATTTGAAGTCATTACAAAACGGTGAAACGTATTATGTATTTATATCATATTAAAAATGTATAAAATATAAAAAATTATTATATCAAATTTATGTAAATATATCAAATATAAAACATAATTTTTTATTTTTTAACAAATTTATATATAATTTTCTTTAAAATTAAATTATATCGCTTTCGTAAGGTATAATTATATCGTATTTATAAATCTAGAACCAGTATAGCTATGGGACAGCGAGAGATTAGTAAAGTTATCAAACAACCAGATATATGTGACTGACCTGACCCATCCTGTCCAGCACTTCTCAGGCTTAGCTATAGGAATTGGATAGATGATGCGCATCAGTGGGCAAATCTGGGACCATGAATAATGGATGATAAAGGAAATCAAGTTCAACCATATATCCACTCAAATCTACATCATCGAAAAGCAAACACAAGTGGCAGAAATTTGTTGAGTGACAAATGGCCAGATTCACTAACCTGGATTATATTAACCGAAAGTAGATTCTCCAACATGTTTTAAAACACAGCACTAAGAAAAAAAAAAGGAAAAAAATTGCCTTCACTCTGTCCTTTTTTTATTCATCTTCTTGTCTTTATAGGAAAACATGGGTTAGTTCCATTTTAGTCCATGTTAGAATCAGTTCCTATTCATTAAGGAAATTGGTTATAATTTTTGGTCCTAAAAAGGTTAAAATCTTGTTTATTTTATGAGTGTAGAACCAATTGGTTTAAGTGTACAAATATATGTATTATAAGTTTGTTTAAGAGTACAATTACCTGTCTAAACTCAAAAAATTATTCAAATTTTAAGAAAATTTAAACAAAAAATTAAAACCCATTAAATTAATTTGGATAAAATTTTTAAATTTGTTTAAATTTCGAATTAAGTATTGGATAAAATAATTAAAATTCAAGTTCAACTCAATTTGGTCTAAATAAACTATATATAATTAAAATATTATAATTATATAAGTATATATATGTAAATTTTTATTTTTTATATTATATATTTTTTAAAAATTTTATTATATAAATTAAGTTTAATAAGAGAGTTTGAAATTTATTTTTTAATTTAAATTGAATTTAAAAATTTTAAAAATATAAAATATTAAGCCGAATCAAATTTAAATAAATATATAAATTATTGATATCAAATATGTATTTATGAGCTTAGCTATGAATACTTTTATTATATTATAACTTATAATAAAATAAAAATATACTTCACATGGAAATGAAAATTCTCAAAAAGGAAAAGTAATGAAGCATGTAAAGCTATTTATCATCATTAATTAATTTAATTATTTTCATTACTTTCACTACTTTAGCATTAATTAGCTTGGATCGACTAGAGATATTCTTTTCTCAAACAAGTAAAAGTAAAACAAAAGGAAAGTGTTCTGAGCCTTCGGGTCTAGGAAATATGTGAAGTAACATTCAAACGAAATTTCTTTCACCTTAGCAATTAAATTTAACTAAAATCTTTAGCAACCCAGTTTTGACCAAAGACACTCGAGACCTAACAGAAGAATGATAAAATCACCTATGAGATGGCCTAGTTAACTCAAATTCCACAATCAAAATCCAAAGAGAAGTTTCACATGGGCTCATGATGGAAGTAATAACTATTTGAATAAGATCGAATTTAATTTTTTTAGATAATACATAATATTATAAAATTTTTAAATTTAATTTGAATTTGAATCAATAATATTTTAAAATTAATTTTATTTGAATTAAATTTTATCAGTTTGATTTGATTTAGTTTATAAATTTTTAAATTTTATTTGTTTTATTTTTATATATTATTTTAATAAAATTTTTAATATGTTTAAATATATTTAAATATAAAATAATTATTTTTATTTTATAAAAATTTAAAATATATATAAATTAATAAAAATATATAATTTGATTTGATTTTTTTTATATAAATTCGATTCAAATTTAATATATATATATATTTAGTATCTAATATTAATCAAAGTTAAATAAAAAAATAATTCAAATTGAATCAAATATTATAATTTTGAATTTAATTTTGATTTTTTTAATTTTTTCTTATCCCAAACTCATGACAGCTCAACTCTCCTGGGTGTATAAGGCAAAAATATTCCCGTGGGTGACCACCTTCTAGCTTTCTAAAGGCCATAAACCTTTATAAAGTTTCCATGATTCTCACATAAACTTTTTCTTTATGCTTTCATCTTTATACATTTTATTTTATATTTTTTCTTTCTTTTTCTCTGGGAGGATGTTTCCACTTTTGCTTCCAACGCAGTACCATCATTTTTTCTTTTTGTAAAGGCTATGGAGATTGAGAGACACCGAAGCATTCTTTACTTGCTTTTACTTCGCTTCTCAAAATTGAAAACTCCAACCTTTCTTTAAATGCTTTTTCAGATTTTTTTTCCCTTTTTTATTTCATTTTCTTCCTTTTTTTTTAGTGGATAATCAATGTCCACTCAATTTTATTCTTTTTATAAAACAATAAATTATGCTTTTGCAACATACTTATTGATTTTTGCAACAAAAAATACTTTATTCATTGGAGCACCTTCTTATGATAAGTCAAGCCTACACTTTTTCTTTCAAATAATATTTACGATAATTTATATTTAATAATTTTAATTTTAATTTATAATAATTTTATGTGAAAATGTTTTTAAGATTATTGTTTTAAGAAGTGATTTAATTTCGATCTAAAATGAAATTTTTTATTTTTATAAAAAAATTATTTTTTGATTAATTTACCTTAATGATTAACGAAAATAAATACACAATTCCCTCTAAATTTAATATTTATAAGCAAACTTTCACTTTGGAAAATTAATTATTCTCTACAACCTTTACTCAATATAATTTAATCATTCTAGTATATATGATTAAGATTAGTAAAATATTATGAGTTTTTCTATAATATTGAAATTATAACTTGAAGTCATTCTTTTGGTATATATGATTAAGATTTTCTTAATTTCCAAAAAACAGATTTACTAAATTATATTTATTCATGAAACTTCAATAAATTTTATTTTTATTTTAATAAAAATTAAATTTTTTAATGGATTGAGTAATTAAATTTTAGTCCATTAGCTTAATTTAGTTTATAACTTACTACATTCTTTTTAGATCTATTATTAAAAAAGAAAATAAATTAATTTAGTAATTTTTTGAAATTATTTTCTTCAAACTTATTTTATATTTTGTAATTTTCTATAAAATTAAATATCACTATTTTATAAATTATTCATTATAAATATTAAATATTAAATATTTTGTTTTCTTTTTTAAGTTTATTATATTCTGACTATTTTATACTCTATAATTTTTTATTTCATGTAATACCAAGCACAATAATTTAAAATTACTAGTGTTTTATAATATTGTACCAAGTATAATAATATAAGATCACTAGTGATCAAATCATGATGATAATCTTATCATTATAGTCATTAAATCACCACAATGATCTTAAAAATAATACCAAATGCTATATTGAGGAATTTTCTAAAATTTTTAATATTAATGATAGATTTCGTTTTATACTATATTAGTAAAATTTTTAATTTCACAAATGATAATAAAAAGACTGACAGATTTTTTTTTATTTTTAATATATTCTAAAATATATATTGTCTTGTAAACCTCACTTATACAAATTAAAAATTTTATTGATAATTGATCAAATGATTTATTTTAATAATTTATTAAGAACTTCATTAGTTTTAATTAAAAAAATAAAATGCAATTAAATATTGAGATTAGTATCTAGCATTTGGAAGAGATGTGAACTAATGGGTGCAAAAATGTTAACAGACAATATTTATATTTTTTACAAATGCAATTAATGCCTTATCTTACAATTTTTTCCAAAGGTTATCTTCCATTTGACACCATAATGTTTCATTAGGTATTATGAAACTTCCAACTCTTGTTTTCAAATATAAAAAATCTAATAATTAAAATAATTCATAAAAATTCTGACCAAAAAAAGATAATTCAAAAATGATTAAGGATCCATTTGAATAGACGATGAAATTGATTTCAGTGAAATTAAAAATAATAATAAATATTATTATATCTGCGATTAAAAAAATTTATTATAATTATGATTAAAAATAATATTTTAATAAAAAATTTATATTGTATAAACTTCACTAAAATTAATATTTAGATTTAACTGATGATAATTAAAGTTTATCTGTATCTCACCAAAGATACAATTGCATCCAAATGCCACCTAATGATTTGTTTTATGCAATTAAAAATCACTATTGATTTGGAAGTAATTAACTTTCTGGTGGGACAAATCAATGGTTGGTTCTTGGCTCTTTTATGCACTTAAACCCATGTTAATGTTAATTTAAAGATTAGTATCAAGATTAAAGATTTCCTTCAAATTTTTTATATTATCTCCAAGTAGGGATGGAATATAAAAAACTGTGAAATCCTTTACATGAATTTGATGTTGAAATCCTTGACTAAATCAATGCATATGCATAATGTACCATATATGTAAAGATAAGAAAATCTTTATTTTAAACATTTGATTAATTTATTTTGAAAAATAATTGGTTAAATTAAACATTTAGTCATCCAACTTTAAGTGTTTTTTTTTTATTTGATCAACCAAATATAAAAAGTTATGATTCCATCATTAATATTTATGAATTTTTTGTCACCTAATTGCTAACTTCTAAGAAATGAAAATAATTATCAATATCTGTTGGTTTGAGTGACAAAAAAATTAATTCTTTTTAAATTAGGTATCATTTTTTTAATATTGTAAATAAAAAAAATAAATTAAAAAAAATTTATTCGAGATCTGATCTAACTCGATTATGAATTAATCAAAATTTAAAATGATTATTAAATACCAAAAAAATTATAATGAAATAATAATAATAATAATTTATTTAAACATAAAAAATTTGATGTTTCCCTGTCAGTTGTTATACAACTCAATGATAAAGTTTTTAAAAAAAAGTATAAGTCAAAACTAGCTGGGTCAAACAAAGAGTGAATCACGCTCCAAAATATGACTTAGAATAGTGAGAAATCAACGCTTTGTTTTTGTTGGACCACACGAGGCATAAAATTTGTCAAACATATTTATTTTGTGTACAAATTGTCAAATTTCTACTCTAAATTTTAGCACGTCCTACACTTGACAACTAAAATGCAACCCATAAAGTTATCAATAAATGATAATGAATTTCTTTTTTTGTATTAAAAATTTATTTTAATTTTTATCATTAAAATTAAAAATTTATACTTTATCAATAAATTATACGATTGTTAATAAAAAATAATAAATTTAGTTAAATATTTGTTTAAGTTATCAAATAAAAAGGGAAAATTTTCAATATATTAGGCTTAAAATTTCATAGTGGGAACCAAGTTAGGTGAGTAGATTTCATTTAAAAATGATTTTTAACAAAATTTTCATTTTTTTTTAAAGAAAAAAAAAAGAAAAAAAAGGTTGTAAACAAGTTTTAAAAACAATTATTATTACTTTTTAGTAATGCAATAAAAAATATTTATTATTACAAGTAAACTTATTTAATTGTGGATAAATTTTATTTAAAAAACGGCTAGAAAGATTATAGTTGTGGCATTGGGGAAGAAAGAAATTGGTAATAATAAAAGGCAATTATGTTGAAGGTGAAATATTTTTAGAGACAAAACAAACCTACCAAGGTGATTTTATTTTAAAACAAATTATTTATAATTTCAGGGAAATTAGTAGGCGATGGTATAATTATTTTTATTGTAAAAAAAAGCTTACAATAGAAAAAAAAAACTAAATTTACTTTAATTTAAACTCAAAACTTAGCTTACGTACTTTTTTGTAACTACGTTAAGGACAAAATTTATATTTAGTTTTTTTGTAAAGTTTGTGAAGTTTTTTTTAAATAATTTAATAAGAATTTTAATAAAAAATAAAATCAATAAATTGATAAAATTTAATATGAAAATTAATAATATATAAAAAAATAATAAAAAATATTATTTATAATTTAAATTTGATGTATTTTATTTAACGATAAAAATTTTATTAATATTTTAAATAAAAATATCTATCGAAAAAATATATAAAAATTTATTAAAAATTTTTCAAATCATACACATTTAATTTATATAATAAAATTTTCAATAAATCAATTTTAATTTTAATTTAATTATTTTTAGTAAAAACTTCACAAACTTCATTTAAAAAATTTTATCTAAATCTTTCTCTTACTTTAATAAGATATCATCTAATAAATGTATAAAACCCGCATATAAACAATCACAATTAATTTTTTAAACTCTCATATTTATCTTATATTAAGAATAAATTTATAAATTTATTTTATTAAATTATTAATTAATAATAATTCACTTAATAAAAAATTCTAACACATATTTCATGTGTATATAAATTTTGAACTTTTTTTTTTTTTCAAAATTTCTTAAAAGAACATTAATAGAACATTACATGATGAAATTGATAATCCTTTTAGGTGGGCGGCCAATGTTTTAAAAGACTGGCCATCTTTTTGTCCCATCAATTAACTAATAATACTAAAAAAGAAATTAAACATCCTTTTTTTTTACTAATTTTTTACGGCAAGATTTTGTCCTTTATATTTACATAATTTATAAAAATAAATAAATAGGGCAAAAATGGGCACATAGTAAAGCAAACCAAGCCACTGTTCACCGCATAAATAAGAGGCATTCGGATGTGGTCCCTTCACCTAAAATTAATAATATTAAAAAATCTGACAACCCGCCAACTAACCATTCCGACACCCAAACGTCCGTTATCCCCCAAATTATCAAAACTTCAGTCACGACAACCAAACATAACCCAATCATTTAACGGTTTCCGTTATTACACCATTCCTGTCCTTACTTGGGGTCCACCTGACATGGACCCGATCACTCAACCCGAGCCGCGTGGTTTTAAGGGACCCACCACCTGACGCGTCAACAGAAAGACGAAGACAAAACACACTCACCACCGAACCCGACCCCCGACGCTGATCCACATTCTTTAATTTCCCCCTATATATTTCCCTTCCCTTATCCCTTTCCTCTCCACAGATTCAATCACAGCAGAGCAAAAAAAAAAAAAAAAAAAGAAAGGAAATATTTTGAATTGAAAAACAAAAATTAAAGCAACCTACCTTCTGCTCCTTTATTTCCCCTTATGAGAAACCAGAGAGTGCAAAATTTTCTCTACTCTTTTTAATTTATTCGTCTAAATTTGAGTGTCTTTGTTTATTGGGGTGAATTAATATGGGAACTGAAGTTTTAAGGCCTCACGATTGTTTGATCGAACGGATCCGGGTTGCTCCGACGGGTTGTTATCGCCGAAGATACGGAAATGGTAGCTTTAACTCTAGTTACTATTATAATAATAACAATAACAGCAACGGGAATGGTAAATTTAACAGGAAACCCGTTCAGAGGAAGCGGGTCGTATCGGATCAAGCGATTTCGAAGAGATTTAGCTCCGCTGATGACTTGAAGACGGTGAGGAACAATGTTACGATGGAGAAGGTTACGATTTTGAGACGAGGAGAGTCGTTGGATTCGAAGATTAAGAGCAACAACGGAGGTGGAAGAGAAGACGTGTTGGTTGTTACGGGTACGGATAGGTTGGGTCCGGATCCTGAAATGGTTCCGAAACAGACCAAAATTATGGATATTAAGTCTCCGGTTACCGGAAAATCTGACGTGTACGCCGGATCGGCTTTTGCTGTCTCTCCGGCGCCGAGTTCACTTCCTTTGCCTTCTTTCTCGAAGAAGAAACAGCTTTCTATTGATGATTCAGCTACTAGAGATCTCAGGCGTTTGCTTCGGCTCGATCTCTGAGGTCCAACCTGATCGTTTTGTCTCTTTCTCTTTCTCTCTCTCTCTCTCTCTCTCTCTCACGATCGTTTCGTCTCTCTTTAGATCTCTCCGGAATTTTCAAGATCCGATTTCCCCCGGGATATTTTTTTCGAAACGGTGGATGGAATTGAAAATCGGAGAAGACTATTAGCGGTGATTAGATAATATCCATATTGTTGTTGTCGTTGTGTGTTAAAAAAGTATGTGGTTCAGACGCTGTGTCTTTTCTTAGGGGATGATCTGTTAAAAAAAGAAAAATTAAGGGGTTGATATGTAATATTAAGGAATATTAGGTGCGGGGTTGGGTTTTTAAATGTTGGGATTTGAAAATGTTTTCTGCTCTGTTGTGAAAAAAAAGTGTGAGAGAGGTTTGCAATCTCGTACCTTTGTTGTGAAGCAATGATAAAATCTGGGGAAAAATCAGTATGTTCGAAATTTCAGTGAATTAATTTATTATTATTTTTCTTTTCTATGTTCAGAGTGAAAAGAAGAGGAAAGGGGAAAAGAACTTTAAAAAGGCGGTGCCTTGGCTGGAATCATGATTAAAGTCTTGTTTATCAACCTTTTTTGGTGGGAAAAGGACAATTATTTATGTTCATTTGTGTTCGCCGTGTGGAATTCCTTCCCGTTCTATGTTTGTCCAAACTGGGCACCAACGACCAAAAGCAATTGGTAGGGGGTGTAATCAAGTCGATTTTCAAGATTAGATTCAGAATTTGATCTGAATTCAACAAGCTATACGTTGTAAGCTCAACTCGTAATTTACTTATACAATTCCAGTTTCATTAGATTGAATTTGATAAAATTAAGATATAAAAATAAAATAAAATATTTTTATTATTTATTTATATATACATATTAAATATATTTAAAATATTAAAAAAATAAAATAAAATAAAATATTTAATTTTTAATCAAATATTAAAATACTTAAACTTTGATTTTATTTGAATAATTAAATTTGAGTTTAGCTCGATAAATTGAATCCAAATAATTTGACTACTTTACACTCTTAACCATAAATTTATCTCAATTAATAATATAAATGATATATTAGTACTCGTAAATTATTTAAATTCGATTCGAATAAAATTTAAATTTAATTCGATTATTATTAACTTGATTTTAAATTCGAGTAGTTTGATTCATCGATCGAGTCGAATTCGAATATTTTTATACTTAGTTTGAATAGCTTTCGAGTTTAATCGAGTTTTTATATTTAAATATATGTTTATTATTTTAATTAATAAAATATCTTAAATTGAAGCTTGAATTTAAATACAAATAATCGAGTTTTTATTTAATATAAGAATCGAGTTTATTTTTATATATTAATCGAACTTAATCGAATGAATTTAAATAATTTGATTTTTATCTCGAATCAAGCTTAAATTAAAAAAATAAAACTTATTTATTTGAGTTGAGTTTCGAATTTTAAATTTTAAATCAAATTCAAATTTAAACTTAATATTATATTAATTTAAATTCGATCTAATACATTTTCAGTCTCAACTCAATTTGAGCCATGCAAACCCAAAAATCTAATGGTCATAAATTGAGGTCACAACATAACATGGCTTCAATTATTGTTTGTATTCCATTATTGATTGGAGAAGATCATGACCATTCATTCTTGGTGTCTTAGTTAAGAAGTATCAAAATTTATGGTAAAGGATTTATTAATGACTTCATAGACAATAATTATGATAATAATTATTAAATAATACGTTAAAGTACATTATTATCAGGTTTGATTTAGCTATTATTATTATTTGAGATTAAAATCTAACGAATCATTACCTTGCATATAAAGTAACAAAAATTTATCATTTATATTAATGGGGTATTCCTAGAAATTTTTTAATTTTATTTGAAAATCAATTTAAAAAAATCAAAAAAATTGGAAATAGAACAACAAAATATAATAAAATCGAAATAAAATCACAAATTTCAATATTAAATCATAATATTATACAAAATTGACCTTAATCTCTGATTATTTCAATATAAAATTGATCTTTTCTTGAGAGTTGAAGCATTTGATATATAAGAGAGTCTAAACTTCTCTTGACTTTTGTGGTTAAAAGTGCGATGAAGGATTGGGCCAAGTGAAATTATTCAAAGCAGTAACCATTAGAGGAATTTGCTTGCAAAGTTTAATGCAAGTGTGCATTACTGCAAGTAAAGAAATGCAATTAGTTCTTAATAAAAGTTGGAAATTTCAGTCTTGAACAAAATGGCTGAGGCTGGTGTGATGAGTCAGTCTTCGACTTTCTTCCTAATTTTCTATGGAAAAATCTTGATTTTTTTAATGAAATTATAATTATAATTAAATATTACATCAGTATATAATATATTATTAAATAATGAGATAATAAATTAAAACATAATTAAATAATTAAATTCACATATAATAGAATTTGAAACCTAAAGTTTTAAGCCACCTTCCTACTAAACCAAAGCTTTATTGGTGAAAGTCTCCATCATTTTAGGTACAAAGGGAAGGGATTTTTTCCTTGGATTCTTAACACATACTTTGATTTTTTCTTCTCTTGTGACTTTTGTGATGTACAAAGGATAATAATGTTCTTTTTTTTTTTAATGAAATTATTGTATAAGCATAAATTATAATTATAATCAAATAATTTTAGTGATATATATAAATTTAATATTTAACTCAATTAATTTATTTAATTATTTTTAAAAGTAACATTCAATAAATTTAAGATTCAAATCCTAGTAATTATAATTTTTTATATATGTAAAAAAAATTTGATACTTAATTCAATTAATTTTATAATTATTTTTAAAAATAACATATTATAAATTTAAAATTTAAATTTTAATAATTATAATTTTTTTATTGTTATCAACAGATTACGGCTTCGTTTGTAAAAAAATATATATCAATATGAAAAAACCAATATAATAACCCAATCAACAATCAATAAAATCATCATATCGTTGCGTGAATCTCATACTTAACGGAGACTTGAAGTGGGAACTTAAAAGTTTAAGGGCGTCATCCTGGTCATTAATACACGTTGGACTATGACAGAAGATGAAAGAAGAGATGGTTTTTGATATGTGTAAAAGCCTGGCCCTGCTTGAAGTGCAGGATTTCTATGGGGACCTCCGTCTGTGCCCTCCGTCGTTGTTGAAGACAGATCAAAGCATCAATGAGACTCAGACTAGGGCCAGAGACCACCAATCCTTAAAGCCTTGAGTGGGCCATTTCAACAGAGGCTGACCCAAAAACTAATTCTGAGTTACTATGATTTTACTTTCATATATCCAATTCTCCTTTAATCTTATTTAGTACCATCAATTTCCTTTTTTTTTTTTTAAGTTTGGTTTTGGATTTTTAAATTTCGAAAGGAAAAATGATTAAAAAAGAAGTGATATTGAAGCACAACATATGATTTCTAGATTTTGCTGACTTAAAAAATATAATATTTTTGTATTTGATTCATAAAAATATATAATTACCTAATAAAATTTTTTTATATTATTATTAATAATACGTGAATAACAATAACAATCATAATATTAACGTATGAACAATATGTGACTCCATTAACATGTTGTTTTGAGAAAATAAATTACTTCCTTGGACTAAACCTTTAAATATAAATTATATTATATCAGTAAACTTAAATTTTAAAAGTTTTGAATCATTTTTCTTATCATTGAGATAGACGAGACTCTATTAGCATGTCATTCAATTTTAGGTGAGTCCAATTCAAAAAATGAAGGGCAAGAGATTGTATGCTTTAGTATCTAGAAAAATTACTTGCAATTTGAAGTTCATCTTCACTAGATTTTAAAAGATTTTCAAATTTGTATTTAGTTTCTAGTTCACACTTGGCTACTTACAACAACTATGAAAATTTCATCTAGGATTTAGTTGAATTAATGCTATAAACTCAATAGAATGGAAGGAGTTTTTTTTTTTTTTTTGTTAAAAAACACTTCTATCTAGTAACATGATTTATTTTTCTCTTTCCTTTCTTTGTTTTCTCGATCTTTTTTTTCTCATGTCAAATTTTTATACAAAACAATTTAATAATTATGAGTCAATCACATTAACCATATTTTATTAGGTTTTTTCCAAAATGAAAAATTCAAGAATGGTGAACTTAATTAGAGATTAACTCAATTGGTACAAATTACTACGTTTAATAGATGATATATTGTAAATCTGAAATTCAAATCTTAATGCCTATAAAATTTATTTTCTATTTTCAAATTGCTATATTATGTATAAAAAAATAAAAAATGACTATAATCTTTCCCTAGAGCCAAGTGGAGGTTAATTACCATTAAAACATCTACCTATTTGATGAAATAATCATACTAGAGATTTCGATGTGTCATAATGGGTTTTGGACAGTTAGACTAAAATTAATTTTAAAATTGAAAAAATAAGGAGAGTTGTCACTAATATTTTTTATATTGTAATTGGTTACTCAAAAATTTATCTTTTTAATAAAGCAGTAAAATGAGTTAAAGTTTATCAAAAGTCAATTTTGGTCTATGAGATTAAAATTGGGTTTAAGAGTCGGTTATGTGTAGAAAAAGTTTAGCTCCCTTACAACACTCATAAAAATTGGTACCAATTAATCATGTCTTATTTTCGAGGTTCGATAAAATGGTTTCAATTTGAAATTTAGTAATAATTTCTTTTATTATTAGTTTTTTCCCCAAATGAAAAATTCAAGAATGGTGAACTTAATTAGAGATTAACTTAATTGGTACCAATTACTATGTTTAATAGATGATATATTGTAAATTTAAAATTCAAATCTCAACACCTATAAATTTTTTTCTATATTCAAATTGCGATATTATGTATAAAAAAATAAAAAATGACTAGAGTCTTTCCCAAGAGCCAAGTGGAGGTTAATTACCATTAAAACATCTACCTATTTGATGAAATAACCATACTAGAGATTTTGATGTGTCATAACTGGTTTTGGATCGTTAGATGTAAAATTAATTTTACAATAAAAAATAAAAGGAGTTGTTATCAATATTTTTTTAAGGTGTAATTGCTCACCCAAAAGTTTTTTTAATAAAGAAGTAAAACAAGTTTAAAGTTTAGCAAAAGACAATTTTGGTTTACAAAAATAAAATTGGATTTGAGAGTCAGTTACGTATGGGGAAAGCTTAGCTCCCCCACAATGCCCATAAAAATTGGTACCAATTAATCATACTTTATCATTGGGGTTGGATAAAATAGTTTTGATTTGAAATTTAATAATAATTTTTATTATTTATTTTTTTAAAAAAATCAATTTTATTAGAAGTATTTGTTTAGAAATATTGTGAAAATTTTTAAGTTAAAGATTTACTTTAAAATTCTCCAACATCTAAGTAGAATTTTAAAGATAACTTTTTTTTATTTAAGATTCACTATGACATTATTTGAAAATAAAAAAAATTATTTGCAGATGATAATTATTGATTTTTTTCTAACATCTAGGTAAAATACTAAAAATTATTTCCTTCAAAATACTATTTTAGTTTTATTTCAAAATTGATTTTTTTCAAGTAAAATTTTTCATAAGAAATATTTTATGCAAAAAAAAAAAAAATGATGCTACAATTAACCAAGAAACAATAGTAACAATTAAAAAAGGAGCATATGGAATGAATGTAAGTCATAATCTAAAAATAAATATATGTAAATGAATGTCATGCAAGACAACAAAATGCAATTTTGTGATTTGATCCTTAAATATAAAGAGATCACTTAGATTCCTCAATATTTAGGCAGAGTTTATGT